GAAAGATTATTTTATATGACTCAAAGTGGGGATATTGGACCTGTACTATAGTTACAGAGGTCACCAAGGAAGGAGAGAAGGTTAACAGATGTCTCTATTTTTATGTTATTTTAACTTCTTCAGACGGGTGTGAGGTATTTGGATGAGAAAACTTGAAACTGTTTTTAGAAGCTTCGGCCACTTTAGGTCATTTCAGAGATTTCAGAATCTCACCTGAAACTCTTGTAATGACTTGAAGTGGTTGAAGCTTTTGAAAGCGGTTTCATGTCCCCCGATTGAAGCATTTGAATGGCGGGACCCGAAACTGTTTTTAAAAGCTTCAGCCACTTTATATCATTTCAGAGGTTTCAGGTCTACCCACCTGAAAGTCCTGAAATGATCTGAAGTGGCTGAAAATCTAAAAGCGATTTCAAATGTCCCCATCCAACCATTTGGATGGGGGGACCTGAAACCTCTTTCAGAAGCTTCAACCACTTCAGAATATTTGAGAGGTTTCAGGTCTCTCCATCTGAAACCGCGGAAATAATATGAAGTGACTGAAAATCTGAAAGCGGTTTCAGATACCCCAATCCAACCATTTGGATGCGGGGACTTTAAACCACTTTCAGAAGCTTCTGCCACTTCTGATCATGCCAGAGGTTTCAGGTCTCCCAACTTGAAGCTTTTGAAATAATATGAAGTTGCTGAAAATTTGAAAGCGGTTTGAGATGCATCAATCCAACCATTTGGATGGGGGGACCTGAAACGGTTACGCTTTCAGAAGCTCCAGCCACTTCAGGTCTTTTCAGAGATTTCAGGCCTCCCGACTTGAAACTCCTGAAATGACTTGAAGTGACCCACAAGAACGTTGAATCAAAACAAAAACAGGCAAAAAAAATAAAGGAAAAAAACATAAAATCTGACCCCAAAACCACTTGTAACTCCTGAAATGGCATGAAATTTTTTCAGGTCATTGAAGTGATTTCATACCTCTCCTAATAGACTTCATTATGAAATTTCACGAGGTCGTTAACCACTTGTACAAGGAAGATAATGATAGCCTCTCCCCCAACTTTAAACTTTATTTGTCAGGATCTCGTTGGGTATCCTAGGAGTTAGAAATCAAAGTTGAATTCTACTCTTGAGATGCGGGTCTTAACCTAAGTTAGATTTTACCGCCCCAATCGAATGATCATGCCTGATTTGTGGTCCACCGTTTTGTTATTCTAACGGCGGTATCCGTATTGGTTACGCAATAGACCTGATTCTTGATCCCTCCGATATTTTACCTGAACCAATCTCATCATCAATGAGACTTCCCTCACGTCTCAGCTCCAGAAGACCCGCTGCCTAGTTGTACTTGGTCAGCAGCCCACGCTGGGAGCTACGTCCCAACGATGCCAATTTTCCACGATAGGCTTGATAATTTTAAGCTCCTCAGATTGACCTTCTAAAGTGGATGACGGATGATCATTTAAAAATATACATATGAAAATCAATTTTACCAAATAATTTGTGAATTCTTTATGAGGTGAGTTACTTGCTCATAAATGTTTAAGTCATTTGGCTAAGCCCGAAAAAAACTAAAAATCGCCAAAGTTGGCGGTGTCAAAGCGTGCTCGCCCACTCACTATTTTTTTTTTTTTTACTTTTTACTTTTTGTTTCCACTTTATTTCGGGGCCTAAACAATTTTACTATTTTTTGAAAACTTTTTATTGAGTTTTGTATTATGTGAGGCACACAAATGTAAATTTTTCGTGCATTTTGATTTCCCACAAAAAAGTAAAAAATCGCCAAAGATGGCGATGTAGAAACGTGCTCGTGCATTCACTAATTTTAATTCTCTTTTCACTTTTTCTTATTTTTCTTATTAGTATTTATTTTTTGTTTTGTATTCTTATTTCCTATTTGTTAAGGAATACGGATATAGTATTTAGGCAACTGTTGCTTTTTTTATTTGTCTATATAACATAGTTTTTTTTAAGAATTT